TACTTCAGCAATACCTTTTTCAAAAATACCCATAATGTTAAGTCACCTCTTTTCATTGAATTCAAGGACAGACCGTTTGATAGTTTATCCAGTACCTCACAGAAATTTAACTTACCTAGTTTAAAAACGTTCTGTTTCTCTTTAATGCTTTTTTTCGCTCCATTCCGTTAGGCTATTAAAGTTGTAACATTCTATTTTAAGTTCTAGTTTGCTTATAATATAATTCATCATTTACATTTCTTAGAAGAAAAAATGATTATACACCCTTACAGTGAATATAATAATTTTATCGTTTTCATTTCTTAACTGATCATGTAATTTTTATTTCTCCGTATCGTATTAGTTTATTTCCTCTACCTATTTGATGCATGGAGCTGTGGTTCAGTAGTCTGTTTATTATTTATTGTGATGGCGCTGCTCACCAATCTAGGTACTCGACTTTCAGTTTAGTGGGTCAAAGTTTCAAACATCATTGCTTTTATTACATTTATTATTTCCTTTACAATAGTGTACTTACGTTTATTTCACTTTCCAAAGTGGAAGGGGTTGGTGTTCGACGTTAGTATCAGTGAGATATTCATTGGAAATGTGGATCCTGTTCTATCCTTGAGCTCCTCACTGATGTGCATTCACATTCTTTTCCTGAGAACAGGTTCAAAGCCTTTAAGTTATGCGTGAATGCACTATACTTTCGGCAACTGAACCCGCTTACAGTGGTCTAGCACTTTTATTGTCAAATAATGCAAATAATTCTCAGATATTGTTAGGGTATGTGTGTGAGCTGTTTACATAAACCATCTTTCTTAGTTGTTTTTTCCTGACTTTGCTTCAGTCACCAGAATACATCCTACTCCTTTATATTAAGCCATTGTGTTCAATACCGTTCTTAAGAAGTCAAGTTATGTTTGTTTCAGTGATTATATACATTACAGATGATCTATTCTACGTATACTGTATTTAATTTAAATAAGGACTTCGATGTGTCTTCCTATGCTCGTCGAAAATTTAGATCAAAACTATATTTCGTAACAAAATCTGCTATCGTCACCATAGTAGGTTGGTCGGTCCATAAAAGAGATAAGTTTTACTTCTTATTTTTCTGTCAGCTCCTGAATTGTTCAGTATTCTGAAAACAAAGTAAATTGGTAGTAGAATACAGTCACTAGAGATAATGATGATGGTTGTTTGAAGGATAGGTGAACTTGTTTGCCGTTGTTTTCATAGTATGAAATCATTTCTGTCGAAATCGAAAAAATTGAAGTTCACTCAGCAACCTTGTGCACATTTGAGCAGTAGGCAGTGAGCCACACCTATTGTATAAGAAATGATTATACTACTTGGCTGCTCAAACCTTGGTAGTTGGGGCAATGTTCGAACTAGCAGTTTGCTGGTTGTAAGTCGGTTGTATTTCACGGAATTTTGGCGTACTGCGTGGTTTTGCAGCTCCAACAAAGTAAATAGGCCAGTGGTACTAAAATCTGTATCCCTGGTAATGGTTGGCACATGTGTTACATTCAGAGTTAAATCTATCAGTGATCAACGCAAGACTTGGCATTAATTAAGGAAGGCATTAAGTTTGACACATTATAGAAACAGGTCATACAATTGACCCCTAAACAGCCTTTAGACCATTATTTAAGAGCCGTCAGATCCGTACACTAAGGTTCATTGAAGCCTTAGCTATACGAAAGTTCAAAATTCCTTTGTGTATCTAAAAGGAATTTGTCCTTATCTCATACCTTCCTTATTAATCTTTACTTCATTTTAATAACAATGAGGGTGTGTAAACAAATTGTGGGCAGTCGTGGAGCCAGGTTGAAAAGACTGGAGAGAAGAGAGTGAAATGGCGACGTGCTACTGAAGCCCTACGTTCCACTAGGAACCCAAGGGACAAATAATAATAAAACTACCCTTTATTCTTTCCAAATCTTGTATCATCTCAGTTAAGTTGCCCTTACCATATTCATATAAAATACCTTGACAATTTCTGAAATAACCTCCGTCTTATTACATAATGCAAAGCCATTAACTGTTCACCTGGATTTTACAAGGAACTGCAATTTTGTTGCCTTAGTTCTTGAAGGCTTCAAAGAAATATGGTTATAAAATCTAAAGTGCTATGCAAAGCAAAAAAGACAAATCTCTTCTGAATGTTGTAAATACGGAACATTTTATTTGACTTGTTTATTTTTAGTTTTTTCATCGCCTTTATCATTACTTTGATTTTTCGTCATTCTTGTTGTTTTTATGTTACTATGTCGTGGGGAAATAAAGTGACTTCAACTGATTCACTGTTTTTATGATCTTTTGTAGTTTAGTCAGTCGTAGTTTCATTAAAATAATTCTGCTTTTAAAAAAATATCTTTTCGCAGTTAGACAGTGTAACTCAGTGTCTTAGTACGTTAAGGTCA